TTATTCTGTTCGAAAATTACACAGGAAGTGCGAAATGATAACATAGCAAACTTGCACACGCACAAGTCAGCCGCACAAGTCATACGTGCCAAAAACATACTGCTACAATGCGGTGTGTAGGTGAAAAGGCGCAGTCCAAAACCGGACTCGCTACCGATCGTCACTAGGGACAGGAGGCGGCGCCGCCGTCAAATAAAATGTACCGCCGCGGCAATGCACACACTGTGCTATACCTTACGCGCAACACGTTTGAAAAATGGAGATAGAGGTTTGGAACGTTTCAAAAACCATGTTCAATATGATTTATGACAGAAGAGAGTACACCACTGGCATTCTGGCCTTGACACAAGTCTGCCAGGTAGTTTGTGAATGTTTTAGATCTGAAAAAAACGAGGCATAATGTGGCTCGGGGGGCCACTCTGAATAAACTCATCTAGGACTAAGCCTAAACAGCAGGGACGAACTCCGGAGAATACGAAAATTGCTTCCGTACACCGGAGTTCCTCTCCTCTTCAAAAGCTTAGTCCTAAAACGGAGCGTTTCCGTGATTTTGACGCGATGTTGCGAGGTGGCCCCCTCCGAGCCACATTGCGCCAAAAACTATGTGTCGGATCTTTCATCATGCCACTGTGGACTTGAAAAGGATTTCAGCAGCTCATTTCTGCAATTTTTATTCTGCTTCTATCATAGTTAGATGGAGATACCACAACACAATAAAACTCGGCTCAATGTGGCTCTGGGGGCCCAGCCTGTAGCATTGCGTCAGATTCACGAACACTTCCAGTCTTGGGACTAAGCTTGAAAAGAAGGGAATCCGAGCTCGTCAGCAGTTTTCATTCGCTTCGGAGTTCCCTCCGTCTAGGCTTAGTCCCGCTGACCTTTTGAGAGACTGCCCTCCCCCTCCCCCGGTGGCACATTGCGCCTGAAAACATAGTATTAAGAGAGGCGGCAACCATAACGTTTAACGACCCTCCCCAGCCTGACTGAGAGGAAAGGTTGACTCCTGCGTAGACCGCGCCACCTTAGGATCCACTGGTGCACAAAGGGTATTACTGAAGAGTTCGATGGTCTAGTCCTTTTCTGTGAGTTATAACGACCCATGTGATGGTGACGGGTAATAGGAGAACCACCATCTGGATTTAGTTCTTTCATCACTAACAATGGCAAATGCAAGATTTCGTATATTCCGGAACCTGCGTCTTCACACAGTAGCCACCTTAGGCTAATCCATATACAGGTCAATCAAACCCTTCAAACCTCAACTCTTCTTAATTCCAACTTCCATGTTCCCAGCAGAACGAATCTCTCTACAAGACGGTCATATTCGCATTTGCCGATACGTTAATCACGTAGCAACTCACCATTCCCCATTTTAGACCCGTTGCGCGTGAGGTATGGCACAGCGTGTGCATTGCCGCGGCGGTACATTTTATTTGACGGCGGAGCCGCCTCCTGTCCCTAGTGACGATCGTAGTAAAGTACGTACTTATGACTTCAAATCAACGAGTGGTGATAAGTGTAGTAAAGATCATGCACAGCTCAGATTATTCTGACGCACTAAGCGCTTCGCAACACATGAAGTCTTCCAAGTGGGGAGGTAGGAGCCA